TTCACAAGATGAATTTGAAAAGTTAATTAATTTTTCATTTAGACTATTTTTGTAGTTTATTTAAAATTCTTTTATATAAGACAAATAAAGATAATTTTAAGGATTAAATACTTTATAATTTGAAATTATTTAATTACTAGGAAGCATAAATTTATTAGTAAAAGTAAGTTTACCTTATTCTAATATTTTATAATTTGTTAATTTCAAAATATTTTTTGTAATATTCTAAATCTAATATTGATCTGAAGTCATTTCTTAATTATTTATTGATAATGATAAATGATGAGGAATTTCTACTACATTATTAGATTATAATAGTGCAGTGTTTAATTAAACCAAAGATTCATCAAAGTTATTCCGATTTAATTAGTTAATTCCATTAAAGAAGATTCCACCTCCTTGATTAGCATTATTCTCCATTATTAATGATTTCCATATTCTAAAGTCATTTTTACAATTTAACATATAAATAGCTCCTCCATAAGATTTAGCTTTATTATTTAAAAATTTACAATTAATAATATCAACACTTACATTTTTTGAATAGATTGCTGATCCTATATTACCATGATTGATTAAAAAAAGAGAATTATATAGCTATATCTTTTAACGTATATCATTAAGTGAGTTAAAATGGATACACCCATATTAACCTACATAATTTTTAGTAAAAGTTAAATCAGTAAGCATTATTTTTTAAAATTATTCAATTTAAAAGTATAGCAATCCCAACAAGCACCCTTAACAATAGCTTTGACTGATTTAAATGGATTTAAATTAGATGATATTATTAATTGAAATGCTTTCCAAATAAATTAAACTACCAGAGGACTTTTTATTCTAATTTAAATTGTCTAATAAGGTTTAAATTGAAAATTCTTTGAAATCTATTTACATAGATTGTAAGATTATATCAATATTACACTCATTAGTAGAAAATTAATAATGAAATATCTTTATTTTTAAAACTTCGTAGATCCATCTTGAAATTAAAGAATAGTTACTAAACTATATATTCTCTAAGTGAATATATAATTTTGATACCATCTACTACCCAAAATGAATAATATTTAGTGGATAAAATGTTTTAATTGAGTTAAAATTACAATTCGATATCATAGTATTAGGAGAATCAGATATTTTAATAATAGGGGAAATAAATGTTCCTTCTATATTCAATCCATCAATAATAAGATGACACCCATATAAATTAATAACTGCATTATCATTAGTAATCTTATCTATCTCAACTGAGCTGATTTATTGGATTATATAAAAATATTGAATCCAAGCTTAATCATTTTGAATTATTGTTAGATTTTTTATAATAACTTTATATAAATCTGATTTTGTATATGAAAAATCAATTTTAAAAAATTGATTTGTTAAAGACATACAATCCTTCAATTTAACATTTTAGATCTTAAGAAATTTGAAGCCAATGATGGAGTAATTGTAAGAATAGCAGAGTTTAATCTATTATGAACTCATGAAAAACTTGTATTAATTAGCTAAAAATTTAATAAGCTATTCTTAGAATATATACTTATACATCCTTGGGAATCAGAATTTTATATGGTTTGTATTGATTAAATCTTTATTTATTCAAGTTTAATTATACCAGATTCTTAAGTAATAATATCAATAACTTGGCTACTTTAGGAAAGTATATCTTCAAAGTATCCTTATGTAATGTGTAAATTTTTTGTCATAATTTACAGTCCCCCTCCTTTATTTTTTATTTAGAATATCGATTGAAAAAATATATTAATTTCATTCTCTTCTAGATTGCTTTATAATTCTATTTAACAATATTTTCTCCAAATATCAGGCGATAAAATATTATGATTTTTAATAGATATATTAGCTATATCAATTTTTGTGGAACTTATAAAAATAAAGGAGCTTGTTGAATTTATTAAACCATTTTAATAACAAGAAATATTTTGAAAATTTACTAGACTATGCTAAGAATTTACATAAATAAGACCTGCAGAGTTAGAGGAAGCATCATCAGGAACTTGATTATAAAAGTTTTCCCTAAAATATAAATTTTTAAAGGTGATTGTTTAATTCTTTTCTGAATATATCGATAATAAAGATAT